TCTGCCTTCGGCTCAGGTCATGATCCCAGGGTCCTGGGATCGAGCCCCGCATCGGGCTCCCTGCTCCACGGGATGCCTGCTTCTCCCTCTCCCACTCCCCCTGCTTGTGTTCCCTCTCTCGCTGTGTCTCTCTCTGTCACAAAAATAAAAATCTCTAAAAAAAGAAAAGAAAATGTCAGTAATTCTTAATCCTCTCATTCAGACAGAAGCACTCACTAGTCACATTTGGTTTACTTCTGTTCTGCCTGAGTCTTCCTTCTCTTTGTTTGTATATGTCAATATTTTTTAATACTGATGAGAGAGTACCACATATGCAGTTTGCATATCATACACACCTTTCCACACCATCAGAAATTGTTTTGTTTTTTTTTGTTTTCTTAAGTAGGCTTCGTGCCCAATGCAGGGCTTGAACTCACAACCCTGAGATCAAGAGCTGCATGCTCTACCAAGTGAGCCAGCCAGGCGCCCCTAGAAAATTTTCATAAACAATTTAATTGCTGCATAATATTCCCCTGTATGGAGGCACTACACAATCCTATTTTCTAAGATATATTTCAATTTTTGCATATGCTCAACAGAAAAATGTACACAAGTTTTAAAAAAAGAATTATGTGAATTAGTAAATTGAATTGAATCAAGCCAGTCAAAGTGCCAGGGACATTTATTAGACAAATAACTACTGCTTGTCTTAATGGTATACTTAACCCTTTGGTGCTGAAGGTCAATACTTCCTAGATAAAATGCAGATATATAATTTATTGGTGTGAGGCACCAAGAAGTACTGATTAAATGGTGTTAGAGGTTAATGCAAAATCTTCAAATGCATTCATGGGATTTTATTAAAATGTCAACAGCTGTAATCTGAATCAGCAGCGAGTGGTCAGGAAGAAAATGAGGCAGAAGTAACAGTTTATAACCCTTAAAACCGATTTCTGTAAATAGGAATCAGAAGGAAGGAGGAAAGAAAACGCATCCACAAGCTCAGACCCCTTTTATCAGAGCTAAATCCTACTCTCTTCCCTACATAAAAGATGAAGGTATAAAAGGGAACTTTACTCCAGAAGAACTGCACTCTCATCCCCAAAAAAAGAAAAGAAAAGAAATTGGGCCAGACAGATCTTAACAAACTTGGTAAGGCTCAGGCAGGAAGTAAATGCACCTCGTGCTTGCCCAACTCCTGTGGCAACCAGTTTTCACCCTTACAAAGTCTGCCCAATGCTGTTACCACTTGGGATCCAGACAGGGCCTCTGGCAAAGCTAGAGTCTGTGTGCCTAACCAACATGTCCACTTGTGCCCAATTAGACAAGCCAAGGTTCTAACCAACCCAAAATGTTACCTATTAGGTCCAGACACCTTTCCTAGACACTTTTATTAATAATTTTAAAAGACAGCCACCCAACTTGTAACCTGTGAAGCAAGCTCTGACCCCCAGCAGACTACCTCACTCCCGGGGGTGGGGTCATTC